TCTTCATGGTGATGAATTTAGTGTGACCTGTTCATTCCTTTTTTGCTCACCACCAATTTCTTAATGCTTTGCCTTAGACATGGGTGTGAAATTGTCATGTTTAGGGTTTGTAAATTAGCATACAGGAAAATTGATTACTTCTGTGCTTGTATGAGTAGATTGTGAGGTCCTTTGCATACCTTCCTCATTGTGTCTGTTAGGAGAATTCCAGGAGAAGTTTGCTGCCTTAATCTTGTTTTTGATTGAGAGGATTCAGCAAAGCTCATGGCTTTGGATTCTGCATGCCATGAATTTCATGCCATTTGTTAAGTCAGCCACCAATGGGATAGGTACAGAATTAAAATTAATCTTTTGAGATTATGGTTCTCTTACAGTCTTATTAAGGGCATTCGTTTTAGTATTAGGGATAGATTGCTATGGCAAAAATGCTTTATTTCCATTTGTAATATTTATACTTTTAGACTGATTCTTATGCTTGTGTTTTTTTTCTTCCATTTTATATTTGTCTAAATTATGGAATTAGTTTGTGAGACTGGGGATGATTTTGAAGGGTCTGTCATGTGCTATTGCTACCACGTGTGTAGAGGGATTGAGAAATGAGACAGAATGGAGAGGTGGAGAAACATATATTCCCTGGGAAAGACTTCTGTTGCATAATGCTGTGTCATGCTAGTGAAACTTATTTTCATGGCAAGATTATGGCTTCTTTAGGAAAAACAACCAGGCTTATTCCAGCTGTCAAGTGGTGGGATTGATGAGAAATGAAGAGGTGGTGTTTTGTTGTTTTTCTTCTCTTTTGATAATATGTATGTATGGGATAATCTTACCTTCTTAGCACTACTTTGGCATTTATAGTTAGGCCATTTAGGTGTGTTGGATTATTCAGATTTTGGTAGGGGGCATTTTGTACCATCTGTCAGAATTTTTTCATGTATTTGTTATGTGTTATCCTACCATTTTTATTTTGATTTCTTGCCCCACAGATTTCCTTTTGGAATATCTGGACGTGTTTGTGTCTGCCTTCTCCAATATAGTTGATTAGTTGTTGTGAAAAGGATGTAATCTTGTGGCTTCCAAGAAAGTGGTGGTGAAACCTATATTGGAAAACCTTTCTCAATCAGATGATATTTGCTTATTATGTTCTGGTAGGCTAATTATAGACTGGCTGTTGACAAAATAGTTTGGAAGGTGAGAAGCAGCTGCTTTCTGATAGAATATAATGTAGCTAGTTGATCTTTGGAATTTCTCTGTCTTTTTAAAATCACTGTAATAATTCATTCCAAACACATCAATTAAATGCTGCCTTTTAATCATCTGTGTAGCAGAGGATCCTATTGCTGTGCATGAATTTCTTAGAAGCGATTAGTAGGGTTTTTACTTGGCTTGGCAATGGCCAACACAAATAGAATACGAGCTTTTTAAAAGAAAGCCTTGATTCAGGTACTTGAATTGCATGTTGTCATCAATATACCAATGATAGTTACCAAAATTTTTGTGAATATTTCATTTTTTTTGGAAAGGGCCTTTATTTGTTGATTGTATGGTTCCTTTTTTACATGTGTATCTGTTAAATTTCTTGAATACTCATCGTGTCCAGGCATATAAAGAGTATGAGACTTAGGTGTATTTAATCATTTTAGCTAAGAAGCAGTTGAGATTGGAGCAGTTATGGGTAGTGGAGGATCAGTTGAAATGTGCTTCCGTTAACCTTTGAAAGGCACCATTGCATCAGTTTTGTCAGACCAAAATTTCTGGTTAGCAGTAGTGAATTGATGAATGACTGTTTCACATTTTACAGACCATGATTAGTTATGTGTCTTTGCTTCACAAGCATGTATAAAACATAATATGTGATTCTGTGTTTTATTGAGTTATATACAGAAAACATATCTGTTGAGGGATTGAGAATACATTCAGATAGCTTGATTTTTGACAGGATATTTTCAAATAAACATTAGGGTGGCTATCAGGAAATCTGAGTTAGGCTTTGCTGTGCCTTTATGTAACAATACCTGGCACATAGTCATATTTTAATGACCTGTGGGAACAAATTTTTTGACTTATTTGGGTCTCAGTATCCTCATTTATAAAATCAACATATTGGAATAGTTTATCTTTGAAGTATCTTTTTGTTTAAAAATTCTGCAGTTTTATTTAAGGTGAGGGCATTTGCCTTTGTCATCTCTTTCTAGTGATGTTTTGGGGTTTGACATTTTTAAAGAAAGTTATCACTATGGTCAAATTTGGCTTGACTCCTTTAAAGATAGGCTGTAAATATTTGGCTGTATAGCCTTGAAATGAATTTTGGTATGACAATTATTTATTCCCATGTTTTCAACTACACAGACTGTTGTGTTACAATGTGGTTGTATGATTGCCATTAGTAACTTTTGAAGTAAGCAAAGGAGGGTTGATTGATCTTTTCATAACATACTGTGTTGGAAACAGATGCTTGATGTGGCAAAGAAAAATTAGCACTGAGACCAAGGATCTTTTAGAAGGTCAATTTTTACTTCCTGGACTGCAGGAAGGGTAACCTTGCTAGTCATTTTACCATGAGAGTACAGTGAACAAAGGAAAGCAGACATGTTTTTTCCTTATGCATCTGGGGTCATCCTTACTGCTGTGTCTGATCTCCATTGGCTGGAGCCAGACTTCACAATCTAAACAAAGCCCAATTGGCTAACAACTTAAAACTTCTCTAAACAGCTAAAAGCAATGGAAAGCTGGGGCATACCTGTGAGCATGTCCAGCACAGATATCTTGGTTAAAGTACAAGAACATAGAATGTACTACGTCCCTGTAAGCATGGCATGTCTAACAGCTACATAGGATAGGGTTTAACAAAGAGTTATTAGCACACTTATGATTTATTCTTTAACAAGAAAGGAAATTTTAAAGAGGAACTTTTCTACTTCTCACGTATCGTATTATAGGATAGCATTAAGAAAGTTGGAAGTGTATCTTAGAAATAATTTATTCCAGCTCCCTCATTTAACAGTTAGAGAAATATACCACAAAACTTTTTAAAATTTGTGTGCTTAACTTGTATCAGAAAAAGAACATTAATTTTATTCTCACTTAGCCATTCAACAAACATCTACTTGAACCTGTTAAGGAGCCTTTTTTTGAAGATCAGATTGTGAATAATGTTATTAACATTTTTATTTTGATGTAAAATAGTTCTGTCTCTACTTCTGTCTCTCTCAGATGAAGAAGGAAACACCTTTCACACTTCCCAAATATATTTGGCCTTCAAATCTTGACCATTTTATTTCTTCTTTATTTAGTGCTTATTGACCAAGCTGACATTCTGTATAAGGCACTATTTAAGGTACATATATTCAGTGTCAAGTAAAATTTCACTCTCTCAAATTGAACTTATTGTCTGCGAAATTTTTCTGATGTCCCTTTTTCCTCACCTTAATAAGCTCCATAGTGTTGTAGATTAGTATCACTACCTTTTCCAATATAGTAGGGTACAAAGGCAAGGAACAATAAATGGAAAACATTTGGTAGTGATAAGTGCTATGAGAAAAATAAAGCATGATTAGTGGATAGTGATCAGTGGTGTACTATTTTATGTAAGAGTGGTCAGGAAAAGTCTCTCTGGTAAGATAATTTTTGAGCAGGATCTAGAGGAAGTGAACATGCAGTATCTGGGGAAAATAGCATTTGAAGCACAGCAGCAAATAGGAAATATAGTAAGTTTAATAGTCTTACACTTTTAATAGCACGCCAAAACTTTTTAATGACTAATGTCATTCAGAGCAAGAGATATTGAGTGATTACACTATAATTGAAATGGGTTTTTTCACTTCATTATCATCTTACCACTTGTTTCACTTTTCTTCTCAACTTTTTTTTCTTTTTCCTTTCTTTGGCTTACTCTGTCGTATGTGTTTGTTAAAGGATTTTTTGAAAATATTTTCAATCATATTAAATATTCTTTTTGCTGTAGTCTGCATTTTTTTTTTTTTTTTACTGTCTTTTGGTTTCCTAATCCTGTTTCTGGCTCTCTTTCATCTGTTTATGTCATCTATTGAGTTATTAATAGTACATACTTCTCAGGTCTAGAATTTCTGTTTTATGGATTCCAGTTCTCTGGTGAGAATCTCTATCCTGTTCATTTTTCTCTATTTCTCTTCCATTGTTTGGATGTGTTAAGAACTCTTACATACATTTAAAAAACTCTTTAATAACTAGGATCTAAACCGTCTACGGACCTATTTTATCTGTTTTCTATGTGTGCGTATATGTGTGAGAGTGTGAGAGAGTGTGTGTGTGTGTGTTCCTTTTTGGTTTTGTCTGTTGTTATCTCTGAAAATTTTGTTTTGGAAGCTGGACATCATATTCGAAAAACTGGAAAGACTGTAGGATATTAAGAATTTCCAAAGAGAGTTCATCCTTTCCTGTCCTAGTAGGTAGAATTACGGGCTAATCACCTTGTTCCGGTGGGTCTCAAACTTTGGAATGTATTAGAAATATAGATGCCAAGGCTTGTTGCAGTAATGCAGGGTCTCCCATCTCTTGATCCAGTTCAAGAATGGTCAAATGCCCCAAGGGAAAAGCACCTTTGCCCTGTGTTATCCTACCTGTCAACATGTTTTTCCTTCTTCTGTTGCTTCCCTTTAATTCCTCATTGCCTCAGTGTTCCCCATTCCTTTAGGCAAAGCTCATATACATATATATATATGTGTATACGTATATATACATGTGTATATATACGTATACACATATATACACGTATATGTGTATATATATATGCATATACACATATACGTATATACACGTATACACGTGTGTATATATATACATACATACACACACACACACACACACACACATACACACATATGTATCTTTTCTCTTTGTTTCCAGCTGTAGCATTGATGTGCCACAAACCACTCAATCCTTCATGGAAGCAACAGTAGGCAATGATTTTATTCTGAAAACAAAACAGAAGAAAAACTCATGGTTTTATTTTTTTTTTCTTTCAGGAAAAACATAAACAAGAATTGGAAGACATGAGGAAAGCTGGTCACGAAGCCCTCAGCATTATTGTGGACGAATATAAGGTAGAGGTTTGAGAGTGTTGTTTCTTTTATTAAACCTTGGATAACTTTTGTAAAAATTGTACACATGTAGGTATATGCAAACATAAACAAATTATATGTGCAGTCTTATTTTGGCATAGAATTTCTTTCCATTGAGCAATAAATGTTCATTGAAAGCGTACTTGATGTATTACAAAGGAAATGTTAGACATTGGTCTACATTTGAGAAAGTTTGAGAATATTTGAGATATGATATCAGCAGATGAAGAAATTCAAGTACAAAATACTATATAATTAGTTGCTAGATTATCTTTTGTCTCTGCTGTGTGACAGGAAAAAAATTAAGGTATGATATATATTGAAAAAATATTTTAGCTTTTTGCTTTTCTTAAATAGATTTGGGTACACTTAAGCAATAACAAAAATTATAATAAATGTCAATATTACTGATATACAGTAAAACTTTAAAATTATTTTTAAAATTATTTGATTCTATGCCTGCATAAACTGAATTATGTAAAGCACATTGAGCACTTAATATCAAATTTTTATTTCCCTTTAAACTTCATGTTAGATCATTTTGCTTTTACAAGTTATGAAGGAATACATTTTTGTTGAAATAAAATTCAAACAATTCTCCCCAGAATAAACCAGTACATTCTTCTAAGAGATTTCTCCATCTACTTTTATATATTTATATGCTCATAACATGCTATATAGTTTTGATTTGATTTAAAAAATGTTATCTAACTAAATTTACTCTTTCCATATTTACTCACTGACTTGGAGATATTTTCATGTCAGTACATATAAGCTTATCCTGTTTTTGTTACTCTTCTATAGTTTTCATAATATAAACATACCATAATTTGTTTAACCATGCATGTGTAGCCATTTAGTTTTTCATTGTTCATTATAATAATAAATGTAAAAACTTCGCCCTATTACAGTTAGAATATGGTAGTTTTTGTGTTGATTAAACTTACTCACTAGACTTGATAGAAGTTGATGTCATTTTACTTGGTCATTTAGTGTCAAAAGCTTCCTTAAGAAATCATTTGGATAAAAGTAGGAAAAGAAGTAAATCCAAGATTAAGTGAAAAGTTTTTTTTTTTTTTTTTTACCTAGAGTATTAAAATAGTCTACTAGATATGTCTTGGGACATGAAAGGTTATTTTTATGACCATGCCCAATATAGTAGCTGACGTTCATTATTAAAAAGGTCATCAAAAAATGTATGATTTTGACCAGGCACAGTCATTCATGCCTGTAATCCCAGCACTTTGGGAAGCCTAGGCGGGCAGATCACCTGAGGTCGGGGGTTCCAGACTAGCCTGGCCAACATGGTGAAACTCTGTCTCTATTAAAAATATAAAAATTAGTGAGGTTTGCTGGTGGACACCTGTAATCTCAGCTACTTGGGAGGCTGAGGCAGAAGACTTGAACCTGGGAGGTGGAGGTGGGAGTTACCCGAGATTGCACTATTGAACTCCAGCCTAGGCAACAAGAGTGAAACTCCATCACAAAAAGGAAAAAGAAAATCTGAATTTGGAGAGAGAGATCCAAGATGGCCGTTTAGCAGCAGCTCAGGATTGCAGCTCCCAGTGAAGGCTCAGGGAGTGAGTGGACGACAGACTTCCAGATGAATTTTTGTTGCCCACGGACCAGGAGATTCCCAGCGGAGGAGCTCCACGGGTTGCCAGCATGACTCTTGGCTGACACTGCTGTTTTGCCAGCGTCCCAGCGTGGCAGTTCTCAGTATGGAGTATGTGGGACTGGGTGCCCTTTTAGTTGGTGTTTGGAGCTCCGGGAAGGCAGAGTTGCCCATTCAACTGATTGAAAGGGGGACTGAAGCGGGAAGCCAGACTGGGAGATTCCCGGGCAGAAAAGCACCACAAATCTCAACACTGCTGTTTCAGCCGACCAGGGGAGATTGCATAGATCTGGCGCCTTTTTGGCGGGCGACTGGGGCACCTGGGAGAGAATGGACTATTTAGTTAGGAAAAGAAAAAAGGGGGCTCCAAGGCTGGAGCCAGGTGATGGGGCTCGACTGGTCCCACCCGCACAAAAATACAGCAATTGGAAACATTGATGGTTGAGAGTTTTACAGCAAGCACAGCTGAACCCAGGAAGGTCCAGCTCTGTGGGGGAGGGGCGTCCACTGAAGGAAAACAAAGAAACAGAAATAACATCATCACCAACAAGCTGGACGTCCACTCAGAGACCCAATCTGAAAGTCAGCAATTACAAAGATGACAGGTGGATAAATCCACAAAGATGGGAAGAAACCAGCGCAAACAGGCTGAAAATATCCAAAATCAGAATGCCTCTCGTTCTTAAGGGAATCGTAGCTCCTCATCAGCAAGGGAACAAGGCCTGATGGAGAATGAGTGTGATGAATTGTCAGCATCAGGCTTCAGAATATGGATAATAAGAAACTTCTGTGAGCTAAAGGAACATGTTCTAACCCAATGCAAAGAAACTAAGAACCTTGAAAAAAGGTTTGACGAAATGCTAATGAGAATAGACAATTTAGAGAGGAGTATAAGTGAATTATTGGAGCTGAAAAACACAATACCTGAACTTCATGAAGTATGCACAAGTTTTAACAGTCGAATTGACCAAGCAGAAGAAAGGATATCAGAGGTCAAGGACCAACTCAATGAAATAAAACGAGAAGACAAGATTAGAGAAATATGGGACTATGTGAAAAGACCTAATCTACGTTTGATAGGTGTACCTGAATGTGACGAAGAGAATGAATCCAAGCTGGAAAATATTCTCCAGGATATTATTCAGGAAAACTTTCCCAACCTAGCAAGGCAGGACAATATTCCACTCCAGCTAATATAGAGAACACCACAAAGATATTCATCAAGACGAGCAACTCCAAGGCACATAATTATCAGATTCACCAGGGTTGAAATGAAGTAGAAAATGCTAAGGGCAGCCAGAGAGAAAGGTCACCCGCAAAGGGAAGCCTATCAGACTCACAGCAGATCTCTCAGCAACCCTACAAGCCAGAAGATAGTGGGGGCCAATATTCAACATCCTTAAAGAAAAGAACTTTCAACCCAGAATTTCATATCCAGCCAAACTAAGCTTCATAAGTGAAGGAAAAATAAAATCTTTTGTGAACAAGCAAGTACTCAGAGATTTCATCACCACCAGGCCTGCTTTACAAGAGCTTCTGAAAGAAGCACTACACATAAAAAGGAACAACCAGTATCAGCCATTCCAAAAATATACCAAAAGGTAAAGAGCATCAACATAATGAAGAATCTACATCAACTAATGGGCAGAACAGCCAGCTAGCATTAAATGGCAGTATTAAGCTCACATATATTAATCTTAAATTTAAATCAACTAAATGCCCCAATCAAAAGACACAGACAGGCAAATTGTATAAAAAGCCAAAAACCATCGGTATGCTGCATCCAGACCCATCTCACATGCAAGGATACACAAAGGCAAAACAAAGGGATGGAGGAAGATTTACGAACCAAATGGAGAGCAAAAATAAAATAAAATAAAATAAAAAGCAGGAGTTGCAATTCTCGCCTCTGATGAAATAGACTTTAAAGCAACAAAGATCAAAAGAGGCAAAGAAGGACATTACATAATGGTAAAAGGGTCAATGCAGCAAGAAGAGCTAATGATCCTAAATATATATGCACCCAATACAGGAGCACCCAGATACATAGGCAAGCTCTTAATGACTTATAGAGAGACTTAGACTCCCACACAATAATAGTGGGAAACTTTAACATCACATTGTCAATATTAGACAGATCAATGAGACAGAAAATTAACAAGGATATCCAGGACTTGAACTCAGACCTGGAGCAGGTAAATTTAGTAAACATTTACAGAACTCTCCACCACAAGTCCACAAAACATACATTCTTCTCAGTACCATATCGCACCTACTCTAAAAGTGACTACGTAATTGGAGGTAAATCACTCCTCAGTAATTGCATAGCATTTCACAGGTTTAAATGAAATATTGGTTGGCTGCTTGTTTGTTATTTTACTCCTTTATTCCTTCCTGTCTCCATTGTTAAGCACAATTATTGGCATAAAAGACTGCATTTTTAGACTGCATTCTAGCCTGGGCAATAAAGCAAGATGCCTGTTCTCTCTCCCTCTTTCCCTTCCTCTTTCTTTCTCTCTTTCATTCTTTTTTTTTTCTTTCTTTATCTGTTTCTTTTTTTCTTTCTTTCTAAAAAAAAATAGTCTGATTTTTATGGCATTGATTTTTGGCCCTTTTACAATTAAATTTTTTTTTCTATTAATATAAACCAGTTTTACAGTTACTGAGTTGAGGAAAATTTCTATATTATTGTAGTATTGAGTTTCACATCTTCTTTTATCCCTAACACTGAGGGTAGGAAGAATTAAAATACAATTGGCCTAATATATTTGCAGATTCCATAACCATGGATGAGAAATTTGGGGGAAGGAAAGCAATAAAAATAACATTACAACAGTGAAAAGTAACACAGATTACTTGCTATCTAAAAAAAAGGGAAGCATATGATAAAATAATTATTACATGAACTTCACATGCCTGAATCTAGAATGAGGAAAAATATCATTCCTCTTCTTATTGTGTAATATGCCACAAACCATCAACACTTACATTATGATTTTTTTCTATCTGAATTTAATGAAAGCTGATTCTCAGTATATTTTAGAACACCTTGCTTGCAAAATTTCACAACAACCAATATATCTGATATTTCTCCTCTGAGTACTATAATATTAATGTACAAGATGTGGAATTCAACAAATCATATGATTAATCAGTGTGGAATAAATGTTCACTGATGTAAAAGTATTTATATCCTTTGACTATAAACTAACTGAGCTCTGAAATAAAAAATTAAATATAACTTTGTAAGCAATTTGTTTCAATTCCTAATCCATTTTTACAAGGCAACCATAAAATTGGAAAGTTTTACATTTCTCTTTGAGTGCTAAATAATGACACTCGACAAATAGATAAAATGAATAGCTCT